CACTGAAGACAGAAAAAAAAGAATCACCTTCCATCTCTAATAAAAAGGATAGGACCCAACCAAGTTCCTCTGAGAGAAAACCTGAGATCCATCCCACCCTCTATACTCCAGAGGTTGCCCTGGGCAGAAGGTCCTGCTCAAGGTCAAATGTGCCTGCGAGACAGCAGGGTTGGCACAGCTTCATGCCGTCCTGGTTCAGAGATGGCACAGAGTCCCCGGGGCTGGGGGACGGTGCCCTACATTTCAAGTCCACTTTGCCCAGCAGCCTTGCTCAGTGTGAGGTGGCAGGACGTTCTGGGGGCTACGTGGAATAGAGAGTCAGGGTGTGGGAAGGAGGCCACGGCCAGCTTTCTCTCTGGCTCCAGTCGCTCCCAGACCCCTCCTGCTCTGCCTGACAGCATCAGAGCCCACTCTGGGCTTCTGGGTTCCATAACATCCCCCAGGATGACCCCATAAATGTAAAGGGTCTTCTAGGTCCCAGCAATGTTTCCCCCAAACCACACCACCATCCATCCACCCACCCATCCATCCATCCATCCATGCATCCATCCATCCATCCATCCATCCATGCATCCATCCATCCATCCATCCATCCACCCATCCATCCATCCATGCATCCATCCATCCATCCATCCATCCATGCATCCATCCATCCATCCATCCATCCACCCATCCATCCATCCATCCATGCATGCACCCATCCATCCATCCATCCATACATCCATCTGTCTGTCCTCTACTTTCCTGTCCAGCTGTCAATCTGTTATGCAATGCCCAGTATGCACTTCCTGTGCTAGATCTGTGCTTGGATCTGGATGCTGGTGATCAACAACATGGACCTGGCAGGTCTCCACCCCCAACCAGCTTTTGCTCTAGTGGTGGTAGGCAAACCATACACGAGAACCACCCACTTCCATGAGAAATGTGACAAAGAATGCGGGGGCCTCTTTACATGGAGTGGTGGGGGTGGCAAGACTGAAGGTGGGTGAGGAGCCCCCACCTGCGGGTCAGTGCCACATGCTCTCCAGGCAGGCGGCCGCAGCATGCACAGGCCCTTACACAGACCGAGCTCCACCCGCAGGCGGCATGGTTGGACCCTGAGGAGTCAGGGGAGCCTGGGAGCAGCTGAGACTGGAGGGGGTTAGGAGGCAGGGGCGGGAGTGGAGAGGGTCTCTGCAGAGGGTGTGGCTTGGATGTTATTCCAAGTGCCCTGGAAGGATTTTAAGCCTCTCTCCTCCCAGCCCAGCCTCTGGCTACGGAGAGTGGGGTCCCTGGACCGGGAGCTGGGTAGGAATGCAGCGTCTTGGGCAGCACCGCATCCCACTGCCCAGGAGCCCGTGCGCCCCTGGCTCTGAGAAGCACCACACTAGATCAGCCGTTCTCTGTTCTCCCTGGGCGGACTTGTGGGAACACCTACACTGAACCCACACCTTCCCAAGGAGGACCCAAGCTATAGCACTTTTCAAGAGCTTTTCTCTTTTTTTTTTTTTTTTTTGAGACAGGGTCTCGTTCTGTCACCCAGGCTGGAGTGCAGTGGCACAATCACAGCTCACTGCAGCCTTGAATTCCCGAGCTCAAACAATTCTTCTGCTTCAGCTTCTTAAGTAGCTTGGACTACAGGCACGCACCACTATGCCCAGCTAATTTTTTAAAATTTTTACAGAGATAGGGTCTTGCTATGTTGCCCAGGATGGTCATAAACTCCTGGGCTCAAGTGGTCCTCTGTCCTCGGCCTCCCAAAGTGCTGGGATCACAGGTGTGAGCCACCACTCCAGGCCTAAATGCTTTTCTGAGTGACTCTTGTGTGCCTGTGCTAAGAACACGGCTATATGCTGGGCTTTGCACAGCCCTCCACAGCTTCCACAGCTGTCTCAGGAGGAGCACATGGAAGATCCGCCTCTGTGCATTTCAAATCCCCAATGCCAGCCAGGGGCTTTCCCGGGGGAGAGTCTTGCTCCCTGCCCATCCCCAGCCTCTTACACCGATTAAAGGGGCCCTGAGACTGAGCAGAGGACCCTCCACGACAAGAAGAAAGGGACAGAGCATCGGGTCACCACTGAGGCCAGGAGGGAGACGCTGCTGACGTGGGGCCCAGCAAACGCAGGACAATTAAAAATGCATTCGGCTTAGATTTCAGAGAGCCATTCCCAGAGTGTAAATGCCACACCTGTCATTAAAAATGCATCCATTGTGATTACACAGGGGACTACTTAGGAGGCTCAGTGAGCATTCAGTGAGTGTGTCTTTAATAACCCCATTTAATATGCTCTCCAGACACATATTAAACCTTCCATCCGCACGCGCCTCCAACACGCCCAGACGCAGACCGGTGGCGATCCTCCAGCCCCAGGAGCCAGCCACCCACGTCCCATGGTAGGGAGTGACCATGGCAGTGGATAATGCTCAAAAGGGAAAATGTGATTAGCGATGAACACGAAAAACTGTTCCCCCTCACTAGGAAACAAAGGGACACAAATTAAAACAACAATGCTGTTGTCGGCTGCCCCCCACTCACGTTAAATTAGCAAGTTTTAGAAAAGTTGTAAAACCAAAGCAGCCGGGATGCAGAGCACATTCCTCCCGAAAAGAATTCCATCCTACAGCACGGTCGCAAATCTGCTCGCGCGCTCTGGCTCGGTAGGGAACTGACGCGCCCCTATGAGCCCACAGCGCCCACGGCAGTGCCAGCGCGGACGGCCAAGTCCCAGGGCGCCGCAACCCAGGGGCTGGTGCCAGCCACAAAGGAAATGACAGCGCAGACCACGCTGCTACATGGAAAAACTGGAAACGTATTTTACAAGTGAGAAAAAAAGCACACAAACTTTATTCCATGTCCGAATCTATATAAACATGTCGGCGTAAAAAAGATAATATAAACAAAGAAAGGAACTGCACCAACGGGTAGGATGTGGGTGAACTTTCTTGAAATGATTGATGATTTTGCATGTACTTTTAATAAAGGCAAAGAAACATCTGGTATAGAGACAGTGATGAGAAAGAAACATGGAAAATTCAAATCTGTTGATTTGCTTCAGAGAAAAACTAAATTTAGACCGTGCGCTCATCTCGGAACGTCTCACGCGTGCCCCACTCTGTCCTCACCACTCCCGCAGGGGATTCCGTCTCCACTTTGCACACGGGCTCCTGAGGCCCTCAGGAGAAGGAGCCCCTACCCTCGGAGCACCTCTCAGGTGGGCGGTTTGGCCCCTCGGCTTCCCACCTGCTTCTGAAGAATCCTGTCTGGAACCCGCAAACGGGGAGTCCTGGGCCCCAAGCCACGGGCCGGCAAGTCAGTCCCACCCCACAAGGACGCACAGCAGGTGCCAACCGCACCCAGCGGCCCTGTCACATAGGCACAGATTGCAGTAGGAAGGACCGTTCGCTGCGCAAATACCACTTCGGATATTCTCATCTCCCCCATTTCCAGACACAGGGAGATGCTGCTGTGAGCGGAAGAGACAAAGTGTTCTGGAAATCTCTGAGGAAGGAGTCCAGGGATGTATTAGTGAGTGTTGACCGAGCGCTGGCACCCCCGGCGCTTGACTGACTTGGCAAATGAGGGGCTGAGGAGGCGCACTCTAAGGAACAGAGGACTCAAGTACTCGTGTCCACTCTGTAGCCAAGGGGACCCGTCCTTGGTCGTCTACCTTGCCGGGCCTGCCGGAAGCAGCCCTGGAACTCGAATCCTCGAGGAGCAGCTGAGGAGACGTCCCAGGGCCCATGGAGCTCGCACTATGCTCTGCTGCTGTGTGGAAACAGTGAACGGTCTTGCCCACGCTGCGGCAGCGAGAGTTTGAAAGCGCCCCTCCAACACATAAAGTAGTGGTGGGGCATCATCGCAGGACTGTCCTCGATGCAGGGATGGGACCCGCCACTGCCCCATTTTCTGGCGGTGACAATGGAATTGGAGGAGGCTGGGAGGCCTGGCCGGCGAAGGCCCCTGGCTGGGGAAGGGGCGCAGGAAACTTCGGGGAGTGAGAGTGTCTCCATCTCCAATCTTGGCCTCACTGGCAGCCCCACAAGTGACCAGGCCAGCAGGCTCGAGGCGACACTGTTCTTTACACCACAAAGAAAGAACCCAACGCGAGGCACCGTTTCAGCGAGTCCCCAAAGTGTCGCAGAAATGCCCCAGCGAGAACCAACAGGCTGAATCATCAAGCCCCTTTGCTAAAAGCAAAGCCAAAAGCCGAAAATAAAGCAACTTAAGGTTCTGATCAGCGAGTATAGGTGTTTTGTTATGGATTTCAAATAGAAAAATGAATTAATCATTACTTGAGAAACACACGTTGAAAACCAATGGTTTCACACCCAGAGACACGGAGGTGGCAATCCACGCATGGAAGAGGCAGAGTCCTTGTGGGACAAAACTGCAACCGCAGCCCGGGAGGCTGGGGGTCCACTGTGCCCCTCCCGGCAGCCGGGGTAACAACGCACGGTAATGACCAAAGGGCCTCAGAATCCCCTTCTCCCTTGTCTCATTCGGAACATCAAAGGGGCCGTCTGATGTTCTCGAGCTGAGTTCACATTTTACACATAAAGAGATGTCCGCTGTCGTCAGTGGGTTATTTATTTACCAAGCTCTTAGGCTAAGCCCGGAAGAAAGAAAAGCGTCCAAACAATGAGGATAATCGGAGGCTTTGGTGGACTGCAGGAGCACAGAAAAGGGAAATGTGCACTGACCTGAATTCACAATGCGAACCTCCTCCTCCGGGGAAGACAGAAAGGAAGGGGGAAAAGAAAGAAAAGAAAAGAAAGCAAAGACGCTTTCTGAGCAGTTGTCTGTCCCCCGGGGCTGTTTGTACCCACGGCCAAAGCTCTGAATCTGCTTTCAACATCTCCTTTATGCATTTTCGAGCCAAAGGGAAGTTGTGAGGCCACCGACTCACGGGGGCTGCAACGGCCGCTCAGCAGGCAGGCACTGGCTCTCAGGCCCCGGCTGAGCGCCTTGGAAGGTGGCCCACAGGTGCATGAGGAGAAAGGCCCACCGTCGGGCGACTTACCGCCACAGAGAACTTTCCAGGACCTTCCCCATGTCTGCATGGTAGTACTTGGTCAGGATCAAGATCACCTGTGGTGTAAACAGAAAGAAAAAGGCGGAAATCAGAGGGTTTCAAGGTTCTCAAAGAGAGACATGATGACACCACTCCCTGCAGGATTTGAGGCCTCTCGAAATGCAGCTGCCCGGGGCCGTTCTCGCTCAGTGGTCCCGGAGGCTCCAGAGCACTGAGACGGGGCGTGTTTGTTTCTGCTCTGCAAACTTGCACCTGCTCTTCCAATGACTTGGGAACATCCCAATCCTGTGTAGTCCACCTAGTCGCTGCCACTTGGTGGGAATAATTCAAACCCAGCCCTGATGATCCCAAGCTGTGGCAAAGTTTGGCGGTGGTCCTGGTGTGGCACCAAGGTGGGCTCTGTCTCCACGGTTACGTCACAGAATCCCCTGAGCCTGCCGGAAACAGCCGCCCAGGCTGCCACCCAAGACCAGAGCAGGTCCCTGCCATCCGTCACTACTTGCGGGGTGGCAGCTGACAGCAGGGCAATGACGGTGGGTTGGGATGGAGGGAGAACAGCCAGGACACTGGAGGGGTCCACGAGTGACCAATGGCACACCCGCTGCTGTCACTGAGTTACTCACTCATCACACACACCCGGCCCTGCCTCACGCGGCCATTTGTATTTCAGGCCTGTGCGGAAAACGCAACTATTTATAAAAATGAAAATAAATGTGTTTAAGAGCCACCCAACTGTTCTTCAAAACAATCACGTGAACATAAAAAAACAAAAGGGGATTGCAGAGTCACCAGCCGTGGTGGGAAAAGCAGATTTGCCCCAATTGCTGCACTGGCCACTGCGTTTTCACGTTCATCGAATTCCATTTCCCCACTGCCAGGCCCTGTCAGCTGTTCCTGACACTCCTGTCGCCAGGGGACCCCAGGAGCCAGAATGGGAACAGCCTCGGGTTGCTGTATAGCTGTTAGCCCGGTTAGTGTGGGGTCACCACACCGGCTGTCCCCAACAGTCCTTTTCTCCGTGAGAGCAGAGCTCTCCCGCGAGGCCGCAGGGGCGTCGTGTCCACAACCGGCAGTTTGGCTGACAACTGTCTTCCCTTCCCGGGTGATCAGAGCGGGGCAGATGAGAAGAGAGGATGTCAACCGAAATGGGACAGTGAGCATCTCAGAGGCAGGGATGATTAAAAGACCACCCGAGGCCTTGTCAACTGAAGGGAGACTGGCTGTGCTTGCCCGGGAACAAAGCAGTTTTCCCCCATTCAGCTCCTGCTCACAGCTGCCGGCATCGGAGGCAGCTCCTCCGAGGAGGGAGGAGGCCAACAGGGTGTGGATTTCACATATTGATTTATATTTTATATAGTCTCACTGTTCCCAGCAGGATTTCATGGCGCCTGAGTGTGGCAGCTGGAAGGGGCCTCAAAGTCTGTTCGATCAGCCCCATCCAGGATGCGATCCTCGGCCCACTCTGATCCTGATGGAGCAGTGAGACCCAGCCCCGCTGGCACTCCTCCAGGGCGGGGGCTCACCTCCGGGGGGGGCTTACCTCCAGGGCGGGGGGCTCACCTCCAGGGTGGGGGGCTCACCTCAACAGGGCACGTGGCCCTTCTGTGGACTGCTCTGGTTAGGGACCCACCCTTCGGGAGGCTGAGCGCCGTCTCCCAGGGACTCCCGCTGGCATGTGGACCCAGCAAGACCCCTTCCACCTCCCCTTCTCACAGGGGAAGATTCCTCACTGGAGCCCACCCCTCATTCTAACCCCAGCCGTTCTGGGCCTTTGCGCAAAGCCGTTCCTCATCTTGGGATGCTCTTCCCCGATCCCAGCCCTAGTTCCTTGGTTAATTCCTGCTCAGCCTTCAGAACTCAGTCGATCCACACCACCTCAGGAAGTCTCCCAGACCCCTGCCGCCCAGTTCAATGCCTCCTCCCTACTCCCCCCAGCTCCTGCGCAGCTCCCAGGGTCTGTTTCCACCCCTGGGTGACAAGCCTTTGAGGGTGGAGACTTGTTTTATGTCCCCAGCACTGGGCACATCCCTGCCCTGTAACAAGTCCTCAAACCGCCCGTTGGAAGAAACTCAGGGGGCTTTACCCAAAGTAACAACAACACAGAGAAGCCGAGCAGAGACAAGTGCCCAGGGCACGGGGCCCTCCACCCCCCAGCTCTGGTCCTGCATTCACGAGTCACACCCTCTACGCTTCCCGCTGGGGCACGGAATCGCTCTACTGGCTTCATGTCAACCAGCTAAGCCAATGCGAGCTTGGGATCCTGTCCTTGGCCAGGGCTGAAACAAGGAGTCACCCAGAAGGGCTGGTGCTGGAGGGGCCAGGCAGCAAGGCATTCCCCCTACCGTCCCTCACTCTGCAGATGGCAGCGAGAAGGACCCCAGTTGGGGCCAGACCACCCGGGTTCTGTGCCTGACTCTGCGCTTACTAGCAAACCCTGCAACCTCGGTGCACCTCAGTGTCCTGACTGACGTGACGGTGAAGATTAAATATTCAGTAGCAAGAAGTGGCCCCCAAGCCGCAGGAACCACTGTCATTAAGGAAAATCGTGGCTAACACTGGCCGGTGTCAGCTCCCACACAGCCCCCGGAGCACTGCGAGGTATTAGCCCTGTTTTACAGATGAAGAAACTAGAGCAGAAAGTGCTTATTTTGCCAAAAACTACACTTGCAGTAAGTGGCAGAGTGGAATTTGATCCCAAGAAATTTGACTTCGAACTTGGGCTCTCCACTGCCATGCTGAAAGCCTGTGTTTTCAGGAGAAACTTCTATTAAAAGTGGTTTCAAAGAACTAAAAATTACGACGTGCTCTTCTTGGTCCTCAGCTAACAGCTTTGGAAATGAGATATCCCAGGAACAATTTTCCCAGTCGTTGGTGTGTTCCCATAGCTGTGGGATGCTTTGATCTGAGTGGGGAAAAAATCAGGAATGTGAGTCAGGGCTGCAGGGTCCAGCTGGTGCCAAGGGTCTCCGCCCACCCTGGCTGCCAGAGCCCACGGCCCACAGGAATCCTCTCCGGAGGTTAGGAATGTCCAAGCAGAAGACAAGGAAACAGGAGCTACCACTGCCCAGGGGAGCGCAGGCCACGGAGGTCACTCGTTACTGCGATGGTCCCTCAGGACTCCACGTCACCTGCGTCTCTTCTTCTCACTTCAGGTCCTCCTGGCCCTGGGGCTGGCAGTGCAAGGATCTGCCCAATTTTACCTACACGGGATATGGGCTCGTGGGGAACCGGGGTGCTGGGCGCCCACTCTGTGCTGACTCAGCCCAGCCCGATGGGGTGGGGAAGTTACTATTGCTCCCATGTCACTCCTGGGGAAACTGAGCCACAGAGCTGCCGCATGACCCACTTGGCATTGCACACGGCAGAGCCGGGAGCTCTGGTGCCCAAGTCCAGGATCTATTTTTCACTGTTCCCCCCGCTCCATGATGTCTGCCTTCCAGGCACGGGACACGCAGACGCTCGGACTCCTCCGCACGCGCAGCCCCCACCTTGAAAGGCCAACCCAGGACCCCAGTCGAAATTCGGACTCCAGAACTCCCAAACCCATGCACCCCCGAGGCTGCTGGGCTACAATCTTCATGAAGCCAGGGACTCAGTCCACTCCACTGCACCCAAAATCCCCAGAGCTTAGCATGTAAAGGAACCTCAAACCACCTTTGTTGAGTGAATGAATGAGTGTACAAGCCCCTGAGTGAATGAATGAGCACCCTGCACAGCAGCTGACGCAGAGAAGAAACAGCACCTGTCCTTCCTGCCCTGTCCCAGCCAACCCCGCAACCCCCGACAGCTGGGCATGCCCTGCAGAGCCTGCACACCCGGGCCACCTGCTCCTCCTGACACCCAAGGGTGCAGAACACACCCTGTTCTGGAGACCCACAGCTCTCACAGCCACGCAACCCTCCCTTGGGGGAGGGGGCTTGAGAACTTGGTGGGCATGCAGCCCCACCCTCCTCAACCCAGGGAGAGCCCACCAAGGTGTGCCCCAACCTGGAGTGCTCCAGGAAGCCAGGGCCAGGGGGTTGGCCTGAGCTCAGTTTCATGCTCTGCCGTCACCATCTTGGAGTTCTTGAAAATGTCTGAACCAGGGCCCGGTGTTTCGCTTTGCAATGGACTCTGTCAGTGATGCCACTGGCCCTGGGGACAGTGCCGCTCCTCTGGTGGCGGCCCGTCTCCACGCTCCTCCAGCCCGGATGGTTAGAGGGCGCGTGTCTGCTGGACACCACGTCCTTACCCAGCCTGCTGGGCACCCACCTCCCTGGTGAGAGCAGAGGGAGGTCCAGGGAGGGCCGGAAGGAAGCCAGCGTGTCAGACTCAACAGCAGAGCTCACTTTGGAAGAGGGGAAACTGAGGATCAGAGGAGGGAAGCGGCTTCAGTGGGGACAGATCCTGGTCCTCAGAGGTCCCCATCCAGGGCCAGGCCCCCAACCCACAACCCCTGGCTTTACTCCGAGGAAGTGCTGCTCCCTCACCCAGGAGCGGCCTGTGGCTGAGAAGCAAGAGAAACCTGCAGGCCACGCGCTCGTGGAGAGACCCTCAGGCGGGCAGCAGGTCAGTCTCAGTCAACACAGCTGCCCTGGCCCACGGCGCATTCAATGCCAGGCCCTGCACGGATGCGCAGGGGGCTGTCTGCCCTCGGTGAGCTGTCAAACGCACATGAGGGCCCGGGGCCTGCACCTCAGAGCTCCCAAAAGGGGCTCTCGGTGACAGCTCCGCAGGTGAAGGGAGCCATGGCCAGCCGGCCGAGGGCCCTGGGAGCACGAACAGATCTCTGTGTCGCTCTGAGAGGCTGGCGCAGAGGGAGCTGTGGCAGAGTCGTTAGCATCCTCACCGCAAACGGCATTAACAGGAGTTCGGCGTTGTCTCGCCAGGTTGCGGCTGGCGCTCCTCAACCCATTCACATAGAACAAAGAGGGTGTGGAGGGGGCCATGATCAGGGGCCTGTCAGTTAAGCCCTGTGTGCCTCAGTTTCCTCGTCTGTGAAATGGAGCTACTTACAGCGTGCCCTCAGAAGGGGGCTAAAGTGTATGCTCCCCTCTTCCCCACCACCCACACAAAC